GGGAAACATGCAGAGGAGGGGATGCAGGTTATTGTCAGTGAAAGGGCATCCATTGGACCAGTTTCCATAAGGCATCCTTGAGCTCCTGGTTCCTCATGCTGTAGATGAGGGGGTTCACTGCTGGAGGCACCACCGAGTACAGAACTGCCACCACCAGATCCAGGGATGGGGAGAAGGTGGAGGGGGACTTCAGGTAGGCAAACACTAGAGTGCTGAAAAACAGGGAGACCACAGCCAGGTGAGGGAGGCATGTGGAAAAGGCTTTGTGGCGTCCCTGCTGTGAGGGGATCCTCAGCACAGCCCTGAAGATCTGCACGTAGGACACCACTATGAAAATAAAACACCCAAAGTCCACAAAGACACTAATGACAATAAGCCCAACTTCCTTGAGGTAGGAGTGTGAGCAGGAGAGCTTGAGGATGTGGGGGATTTCACAGAAGAAGTTATCTACAGCATTGCCTCTGCAGAGGTGTAGTGCAAATGTGTTGGCAGTGTGAAGGAGAGCATTGAGGAACCCAGTGCCCCAGGCAGCTGCTGCCATGTGGACACAAGCTCTGCTGCCCAGGAGGGTCCCGTAGTGCAGGGGTTTGCAGATGGCCACACAGCGGTCATAGGCCATGACAGTGAGAAGATACAACTCAGCTGCAATAAAACAGAGTAACAGAAAGACTTGTGCAGTGCAACCATAGTACGGAATGGCCCTGGTGTCCCAGAGGGAATTGGCCATGGCTTTGGGGACAGTGGTAGAGATGCAGCCCAGGTCAAGAACAGAGAGGTTGAGGAGGAAGAAGTACATGGAGTTGTGGAGGCAGTGGTCACAGGCGATGGCAGCGATGATGAGGCCATTGCCCAGGAGGGCAGCCAGGTAGATGGCCAGGAAGAGCCAGAAGTGCAAGAGCTGCAGCTCCCGTGTGTCTGCGAATGCCAGGAGGAGGAACTGGGTGATGGAGCTGCTGTTGGACATCTGCTGCCTCAGGGCATGGGGCACTGCCAAGGAGGAAAGGACAAGGACAAGTCAGGGGAGACTTCTCTGAGGATAATCAAAGCCATTTCTCATGGAAACGCCTCTGCAAACTGTCTCACTCCATTCAGGAACACCTTTGGCAGCTCCCTGTCACAAGCTCTGGCTGGTGCTGGCTGAGGGTGCCCCAGGGAGCAGCAGGCTCTGCTGGGGGCTCTGCAG